GTAGCACCACTCATTCTGAGAGTTATCTTATGGGTAGCGCAATCATTCTGAGAGTTATTATACTGGGTTAGCACACTCATTCTGACGTTATTATACTGGGTAGCACCACTCATTCTGACAGTTATTATACTGGGTAGCACCACTCATTCTGACAGTTATTATACTGGGTAGCACCACTCATTCTGAGAGTTATCTTACTGGGTAGCGCAACTCATTCTGAGAGTTATTATACTGGGTAGCACCACTCATTCTGAGAGTTATCTTACTGGGTAGCGCAACTCATTCTGACAGTTATTATACTGGGTAGCACCACTCATTCTGACAGTTATTATACTGGGTAGCACCACTCATTCTGACAGTTATTATACTGGGTAGCACCACTCATTCTGACAGTTATTATACTGGGTAGCACCACTCATTCTGACAGTCATTATACTGGGTAGCGCCACTCATTCTGAGAGTTATCTTACTGGGTAGCGCCACTCATTCTGAGAGTTATCTTACTGGGTAGCGCCACTCATTCTGACAGTTATTATACTGGATAGCCCCACTCATTCTGAGAGTTATCTTACTGGGTAGCGCCACTCATTCTGACAGTTATTATACTGGGTAGCCCCACTCATTCTGAGAGTTATCTTACTGGGTACCGCCACTCATTCTGATAGTTATCTTACTGGGTAACGCCACTCATTCTGAGAGTTATCTTACTGGGTAGCGCCACTCATTCTGACAGTTATTATACTGGGTAGCCCCACTCATTCTGAGAGTTATCTTACTGGGTAGCGCCACTCTTTCTGAGAGTTATCTTACTGGGTAGCACCACTCATTCTGACAGTCATTATGCTGGGTAGCGCCACTCATTCTGAGAGTTATCTTACTGGGTAGCGCCACTCATTTTGAGAGTTATCTTACTGGGTAGCGCCACTCATTCTGAGAGTTATCTTACTGGGTAGCGCCACTCATTCTGACAGTTATTATACTGGGTAGCCCCACTCATTCTGAGAGTTATCTTACTGGGTAGCGCCACTCTTTCCGAGAGTTATCTTACTGGGTAGCACCACTCATTCTGACAGTCATTATGCTGGGTAGCGCCACTCATTCTGAGAGTTATCTTACTGGGTAGCGCCACTCATTTTGAGAGTTATCTTACTGGGTAGTGCCACTCATTCTGAGAGTTATCTTACTGAGTAGCCCCACTCATTCTGAGAGTTATCTTACTGGGTATCGCCACTCATTCTGAGAGTTATCTTACTGGGTAGCGCTACTCATTCTGAGAGTTATCTTACTGGGCAGCGCCACTCATTCTGACAGTTATTATACTGGGTAGCACCACTCATTCTGACAGTTATTATACTGGGTAGTGCCACTCATTCTGAGAGTTATCTTACTGGGTAGCGCCACTCATTCTGAGAGTTATCTTACTGGGTAGCGCCACTCATTCTGAGAGTTATCTTACTGGGTAGCACCACTCATTCTGAGAGTTATCTTATTGGGTAGCACCACTTATTCTGAGTTATCTTACTGGGTAGCACCACTCATTCTGAGAGTTATTTTACTGGGTAGCACCACTCATTCTGAGAGTTATCTTACTGGGTAGCGCCACTCGTTCTGAGAGTTATCTTACTGGGTAGCACCACTCATTCTGAGAGTTATCTTACAGGGTAGCACCACTAATTCTGAGAGTTATCTTACTGGGTAGCGCCACTCATTCTGAGAGTTTTCTTACTGGGTAGCGCCACTCATTCTGAGAGTTATCTTAGTGGGTAGCACCACTCATTCTGAGAGTTATCTTACTGGGTAGCACCACTCATTCTGAGAGTTATCTTACTGGGTAGCACCACTCATTCTGAGAGTTATCTTTCTGGGTAGCGCCACTCATTCTGAGAGTTATCTTACTGGGTAGCGCCACTCATTCTGAAAGTGATAATACTTGGTACCACTCATACTGTGAGTGATCATACTGAGCAGTACCACTCACACTATGAGTGGTTTACCTGGAGTTTACCTGGAGAGAGTTCCGGGGGCCATCTCCCCCGCGGCCCAGTCTGTGACCAGGCCTCATGGTGGATCAGAGCCTGATCAACTAGGCTGTTACTGCTGGCTGCACGTAATCCAACGTACTAACCACAGAACGGCTGGTGAGGTACTGACTTTAGGTGCTTGTCCAGTGCCTGCTTGAAGATAGCCAGGGGTCTATTGGTAATCACCCTTATGTATGCTGGGAGGCAGTTGAACAGTCTTGGGCCCCTGACACTTATTGTGTTGTCTGTTAACGTGCTAGTGACACTCCTGCTTTTCATTGGGGGAATGTTGCATCGTCTGCCGAGTCTTTTGCTTTCATTGTGAGTGATTTTCGCGTGCAAGATTATATACACCTGGAAAATCCTAGTCCCTCTAGGATTTTCCAGGTGTATATAATCATGTATCTCTCCCGCCTGCGTTCCAGGGAGTACAGGTTCAGGAACTTCAAGCGCTCCCTGTAATTGAGGTGTTTTATCTCTGTTATGCGCGCCGTGAAGGTTCTCTGTACATTTTCTAGGTCAGCAATTTCACCTGCCTTGAAAGGTGCTGTTAGTGTGCAGCAATATTCCAGCCTAGATAGAACAAGCGACCTGAAGAGTGTCATCATGGGCTTGGCATCCCTAGTTTTGAAGGTTCTCATTATCCATCCTGTCATTTTTCTAGCAGGTGCGATTGATACAATGTTATGGTCCTTGAAGGTGAGATCCTCCGACATGATCACTCCCAGGTCTTTGACGTTGGTTTTTCGCTCTATTGTGTGGTTGGAATTTGTTTTATACTCTGATGAAGTTTTAATTTCCTCAAGTTTACCGTATCGGAGCAATTAAAATTTCTCATCGTTGAACTTCATATTGTTTTCTACAGCCCATCGAAAGATTTGGTTGATGTCTGCCTGGAGCCTTGCAGTGTCTGCAATGGAAGACACTGTCATGCAGATTCCGGTGTCATCTCCAAAGGAAGTCACGGTGCTGTGGCTTATATCCTTGTCTGTGTCTGATATGAGGGTGAGAAACAAGATGGGAGCGAGTACTGTGCCTTGTGGAACAGAGCTTTTCACCGTAGCTGCCTCAGACTTTACTCTGTTGACTACTACTCTTTGTGTTCTATTTGTCACGAAATTATAGCTCCATCTACCAACTTTGCCTGTTATTCCTTTAGCACGCATTTTGTGCGCTATTTCGCCATGGTCCCATTTGTCAAAGGCTTTTGCAAAGTCTGTGTATATTACATCTGCGTTCTTTTTGTCTTCTAGTGCATCTAGGACCTTGTCCTAGTGATCCAATAGTTGAGACAGACAGGAGCGACCTGTTCTAAACACATGTTGCCCTGGGTTGTGTAATTGGTGGATATCTAGATGGGGGGCGATCTTGCTTCTTAGAACCCTTTCAAAGATTTTTATATGGGACTTTAGCACTATCGGTCTGTAGTTCTTTGCTGTTGCTTTACTGCCCCCTTTGTGGAGTGGGCTATGTCTGTTGTTTTTAGTAACTGTGGGACGACCCCCGTGTCCATGCTCCCTCTCCATAGGATGGAAAAGGCTCGTGATAGGGGCTTCTTGCAGTTCTTGATGAACACAGAGTTCCATGAGTCTGGCCCTGGGGCAGAGTGCATGGGCATGTCATTTATCGCCTGTTCGAAGTGAGTGATCATACTGAGCAGTACCACTCATAATGTGAGTGATCATACTGAGCAGTACCACTCATACTGTGAGTGATCATACTGAGCAGTACCACTCATACTGTGAGTGATCATACTGAGTATAGAATTGTCAGTGTATACACTCCCTCATACAGAGTACAGGACTGTCAGTATATACACTCCACTCATACAGTAGTACAGGACTGTCAGTATACACTCTCTCATACAGAGTACAGAACTGTCAGTGTATACACTCCCTCATACACAGTACAGAACTGTCAGTATATACACTCCCTCATACAGAGTACAGAACTGTCAGTGTATACACTCCCTCATACAGAGTACAGAACTGTCAGTATATACACTCCCTCATACAGAGTACAGAACTGTCAGTATATACACTCCCTCATACAGAGTACAGAACTGTCAGTGTATACACTCCCTCATACAGAGTACAGAACTGTCAGTGTATACACTCCCTCATACAGAGTACAGAACTGTCAGTATATACACTCCCTCATACAGAGTACAGAACTGTCAGTATATACACTCCCTCATACAGAGTACAGAACTGTCAGTGTATACACTCCCTCATACAGAGTACAGAACTGTCAGTATTATACACTCCCTCATACAGATTTACAGGACTGTCAGTATATACACTCCTCATACAGAGTACAGAACTGTCAGTATATACACTCCCTCATATAGAGTACAGAACTGTCAGTGTATACACTCCCTCATACAGAGTACAGAACTGTCAGTGTATACACTCCCTCATACATAGTACAGAACTGTCAGTATATAACACTCCTCATACAGAGTACAGAACTGTCAGTATATACACTCCCTCATACAGAGTACAGAACTGTCAGTGTATACACTCCCTCATACAGAGTACAGAACTGTCAGTATATACACTCCCTCATACACAGTACAGAACTGTCAGTGTATACAGACAAGTGGTGTACATAATATGTGAATTATATTAATACTGTCAGTCGTTGCGCCAGTCAGTGGCTTCTTCCGTGTAATACAGACAATAAGAGACGAAGATGAGGATGAGGACTTTGAGGTAATCAGTCCCTCAGGCTGGAGTCGATGTGTTCAGTCTCTCAATCTTGTCTGATGGAGTGACTGACTGAAGACATTGACCCCAGGCTGAGGGACTGATTACCTCATACTCATCTTTCTCTGTTATTCTCTGTATTGGACTGAAGAAGCCACTAGCTGGAGAAGCGTTTCCTCAGTAAACATTCGCATATGTTGCGCTAGTGTCTCATTGTTAAGCATCATGTTATATTTAGTTAAGATATAAATTGTTAAGAATGAGAACTAACCTGAAGTACCCAGACTGCTGTGCCGGTACACAGAGCAGCGGAGGCCGTGATGGTGGCTGTGTCTCCTGTGGTGAGTGTCACCGTACAACCACACACACACCTGTCCAGGTCTGCTGTGGTAGCTGCTGGAGTCTGCTGGCTGGCCCACACGCACGGTGGACCATCACACATCTCTGACTCTATAGAGTCTCCCTGTAAGATGACCTCACGTTAATTACATGTCTATGTCTCTCCCTGTAAGATCACCTCATGTCAATGGTCACTGTTAGTTAGGTGATTATACTCTTGTGAGTGCTTAACACATACTCGTATGTCTTTGTCAATAACTAACACACACACACACACACACACACACACACACACACACACACACACACACACACACACACACACACACACACACACACACACACACACACACATACAGCGAGACTGGACCTAGTATTCACCTTGAGTAGAGCAGATATTGAGGACATCACATATGAAAGACCCCTTGGGGCCAGCGATCATGTGGTTTTAAGCTTCGAATTCACAGTAGAGTTGAAAGTGGAGGGGGAAGCAGGAAGGCCAGGACGAATGAAGCCAAACTACAGGAAAGGGGACTACACAGGAATGAGGAACTTCCAGATCGGGGTTCAGTGGGACAGAGATCTGGCAGGGAAGTCAGTAAACGAGATGATGGAATATGTAACAACAATATGCGAGTAAGCTGAGGAGAGGTTTGTACCCAAGGGTAACAGAAATAATGAAAAAGCCAGGAGGAGCCCATGGTTCACCCAGAGGAGCAGGGAGGCAAAAGCCAAGTGTGCTAGGGAATGGAAGACGTATAGAAGGCAAAGGACCCAGGAGAATAAGGAGAGCAGTCATAGAGCCAGAAATGAATATGGACTGGTTAGAAGGGAGGCCCAACGACAATATGAAAACGACATAGCAGCGAAAGCCAAATCTGACCTGAAGCTGTTATACAGCCACATCAGGAGGAAAACAACAGTCAAGGACCAGGTAATCAGGCTAAGGAAGGAAGGAAGGAGGAGAGACAACAAGAAATGACCGCGAAGTATGTCAGGAACTCAACATGAGATTCAAAGAAGTGTTCACAGAGGAGACAGAAGGGACACTAGAAAGACGGAGAGGTGGGGTATACCACCAAGTGTTGGACACAGTACACACAACCGAGGAAGAAGTGAAGAGGGTGCTGAGTGAGTTAGATACCTCAAAGGCGATGGGGCCGGATAAGATCTCTCCATGGGTCCTGAGAGAGGGAGCAGAGGCGCTATGTGTACCACTAACAACAAAATTCAACACATCTGTCAAAACAGGGAGATTACCTGAGGTATGGAAGACGGCAAATGTAGTCCCAATTTTTAAAAAAGGAGACAGACATGAAGCACTAAACTACAGACCAGTGTCACTGACATGTATAGTATGCAGAGTCATGGAGAAGATTATCAGAAGAGTGGTGGAACACCTAGAAAGGAATGATCTCATCAACAGCAGCCAACACGCTTTCAGGGACAGGAAATCCTGTGTCACAAACCTACTGGAGTTCTACGACATGGTGACAGCAGTAAGACAAGAGAGACAGGGGTGAATAGATTGCATTTTCTAGGACAGTAAGAGGGCATTTGACACAAGAGATTAGTGCAAAAACTGGAGGACCAAGCAGGGATACCAGGGAAGGCACTATAATGGATCAGGGAATTCTTGTCAGGAAGACAGCAGCGAGTCATGGTACGTGGCGAGGTGTCAGAGAGGATGCCTGTGACGAGTGGGGTTCCACAGGGGTCAGTCCTAGGACCGGTGCTGTTTCTGGTATTTCTGAACATGACGGAAGGAATAGACTCTGAGGTGTCCCTGTTTGCAGATGACGTGAAGTTGATGAGAAGAATTCAATCGGACGAGGACCAGGCAGAACTACAAAGGGATCTAGACAGGCTGCAGACCTGGTCCAGCAATTGGCTCCTGGAGTTCAACCCCACCAAGTGCAAAGTCATGAAGATTGGGAAGGGCAAAGAAGACCGCAGACGGAGTACAGTCTAGGGAGGTCAGAAACTACAAACCACACTCAAGAAAAAAGATCTTGAGGTGAGTATAACACCAGGCACATCTCCTGAAGCGCACATCAACCAAACAACTGCTGTAGCATATGGGCGCCTAGCAAACCTCAGAACAGCATTCCGACATCTTCATAAGGAATCATTCAGGACCCTGTACACCGTGTACGTTAGGCCCATATTGGAGTATGCGGCACCAGTTTGGAACCCACACCTAGCCAATCACGGAAAGAAACTAGAGAAAGTGCAAAGGTTTGCAACAAGACTAGTCCCAAAGCTGAGGTATGTCATACGAGGAGAGGTTAAGGGAAATCAACCTGACGACACTGGAGGACAGGAGAGATAGGGGGACATGATAACGACATACAAAATACTGAGAGGAATTGACAAGGTGGACAGAGACAGAATGTTCCAGAGATGGAACACAGCAACAACGGGACACAGTTGGAAGTTTAAGACACAGATGAATCACAGGGATGTTAGGAAGTATTTCTTCAGCCACAGAGTAGTCAGAAAGTGGAATAGTTTGGGAAACGATGTAGTGGACGCAGGATCCATACATAGCCTTAAGCAGAGGTATGATAAAGCTCACGGTTCAGGGAGAGTGACCTAGTAGCGACCAGTGAAGAGGCGGCGCCAGGAGCTATGACTCGACCCCCGCAACCACAACTAGGAGGTAAAACATAGACCCATCCCCCCACCCACACCACACACACACACACCCGCACACACACACACCCACACACCACACACAAAAACACACGCACAACCCCCACACACACACCACACAAAACCCCAACACAACACACACACACACACACAAACTCACTGCCCCACATACACACACACCACACACACAACACACACACACACACACACACACACACACACACACACACACACACACACACACACACACACACCATACACAGGAGAAGAATGGTGAAACACCAAAAGGAAAAGATCTCACAAAACAGCCAAATGGTTTCAGGGGGGGAAATCCTGTTCACAAACCTACTGGAGTTCTATGACTGGTGACAGCAGTAAGACAAGAAGGAGGGGGTGGGTGGTTTGCATTTTCATGGACGTAAGAAGGCGTTGACACATTCCACACAAGAGTTGGTGCAAAAACTGGAGGGCCCAAGCAGGGATAACAGGGAAGGCACACAATGGTCAGGGAAATTGTCAGGAAGACAGCCCGAGTCATGGTATGGCAGTGCAAGTGGGCACCTGTGACCAGCGGGGGCCCGCAGGGGGCAGTCCTAGGACCAGTGCTGTTTCTGGTATTTGGGAACACAGACGGAAAGGGAAAGACTCTGAGGGGTCCCTGTTTGCAGATACGTGAAATTGATGAGAAAAATTTACTCGATGAAACCCGGCAGAACTACAAAGGGATCGGACAGGCTGCAGACCTGGGCCAGCAATTTTGGCTCCCGGATTCAGTCCCACCAAGTCAAAATCATAAAATTTGGGGAAGGGGAAAGAAACCGCAGACGGAACAGTCTAGGGGGCCAAGACTACAAACCCACAAAGGAAAAAAATCTTTGGGGGGAGTATAACAACCCGGGCCCTCTCCTGAGCCCTCAACCAAAAACTGCGCAGCAATGGGGGCCGGGAAACCCAAAGCATTCCGCTCTTTAAAAGGAACTTCGGCCCCCGTACACCGTACGTTTCCCAAGGAGTAGCGGCACCAGTTTGGAACCCCACCCAGCCCAAACACGTGAAGAAAATAGAGAAATGCAAAGGTTTGCAAAAAGACTAGTCCCCCCGGGTAGAGGTAGTTTCCAAAGAGGAGAGGTTAAAGGGAAAACCCCCCCCGACGACACGGAGGACAGGAAATTTGGGGGGCCCAAATAACGGGCATACAAAAAACGAGAGGAAAAGACAAGGGGAACAAAGACAGGATTTTTCCAGAGATTGGGACAAAAGTAACCCGGGGAAAACCGTTGGAACTGAAGACACAGAAGAATCACAGGGGTTTAGGAAAATATTTTTTCAGCCCCCAGGTTAAATCAGTAAGTGGGGAAAAGTTTGGGGAAACATGTAGTGGAGGCAGGACCCATCCCTAGCTTTAAACAAGGTTGATAAAGCTCACGGCTCAGGGGGAGTGACCCTAATAGCGATTCCTGAAGAGGCGGGCCCGAGCTCGGACTCGACCCCCGCAAACCCCAAATAGGTGAGTACAACTGGTGATACACCCCACACACACACACCCACCCAACACACAAACATGAAGGGGGAGGGGCCAGGGGCTTGGACTCGACCCCTTATCCTCTAATTTAAAAATATATATATATATACTTTCAAAACACAGGTTTTTCCTCCTTTTTCTAAATAGCTCTTGTTCTTCTTTTTTTTCTTCTATTTTCCATGGTTGGGAAATGGAAAAGAATCTTTCCTCCGTAAGCCCTGCGTGTCGTATGAGGCACCCAAAAAGCCGGGAGCAATGGGCTAGTAACTCCCTTTTCCGTAGACATTTAAATAAAAAAAAAGAAAAGAAAAACTTTATAAAACTGGGGAAAGCTTAAAAAGTGCGTGGGTGTAGTGCGGAATTTTCAAGAACGAAAGAAAGCTGATGTTATGAAAAGAAAAAAAAGTTTTGGGTTTCCCTGGCCCTAAGCGGGGGAAAAAAGCGAAGGGGGGAGGGGAATTTCGGTGGGGGGAAAAAAAAAGGGGTTTTAAAACTGTAAGTTAGAGAGATTTGAGCAAAGGAAGGGGGACAGAAAAGTTTAAAGGAAACAGTTTTTGGAAGGAGAAAAAAAAATAAATGTGTTAAATTCAAGAATTATTAGATTAAAAATAAAGGTTGGATGCGAAAAGTGTGTCATAATAAGCGGGGTATCACCCGGAGAAGAGAGGAATTTTAGAAAGGGAAAAGAGAGAGATTTTGGGAGATGTTAAGTGAATGTATAACCTTTGAACCAATGAAAAGTAATTTTTGGTAGGGGAAACCCGAATGGGTAAAGGGGGGGAGGGGGGGAAAAATTTTTTGAGAGGGGGTGGGGGTAAGTTTGGGTGCCAGGTGTAAAAAGAAATGGGAGCCCTTTGATTGAACTTTTGGAAAAGAAAGGGGGGGTTTGTTTTTAGGTAATACTTAAATTTTAAAAAAAAAGAGGACAAATAAGTTACAAGATAGAT